ACCTCACCCATGCCAAGTCTGGTGAATCACATAGACCCTTATGAGCATAATATTTTTAAATGCATAAAATTAAGTGCAAATGAAACCAATTGTATTGTAATATATTTATCAAAATATTTTTTTGAAAAACTGGGCACACACTAATAATGCACGTGCTTCTTTTTCAACCCATTAAATGCTAAGATTCAGAGTGACAATACTTAGCCTAATTGTCATTTGGAAGAGAATGCAAATAAAGACATGATTCATTTGCCTGCTATATTCATGGACCCACCAAATTCCATCCTCAGACCATTACAGGGTGGATCTGAGATGAAGAACTCTTGGTCTGGAGGAGAGCATGAGATGTCAAGTATAAATCTAACAGTCCGTAGTCTCTGCTCTCTGGATGAGTTGCTTATAATTAATGACTTCAAGTTACTTTCTTCCTTCTGTTGTAAAAAAAACAGCTACTTCAGTCCTGTCTGGGAGCCAAAAACACCCTTTAACTGCTCGGGAGGAAAAGAATGCCTTAAGGGCAATGTATCTTAAAGCAATGACTTGCCTGGCCTGAGGGTAGCATGGTAGCTACAGGTAGAATTTCCCAACCCTTGGCAAGCCAAAGGATCACACGAGAAGAGCTATGAAGGAGACTCCCAGTCAAGAGGATAGCAGTCAAGTTGTATGTGACCTTCTCAAGGAAGGTTTTATAGGTAGTAGGCTAGGGAGGGGTTTGGAGAAGAACTTTCTTCTGATTTCTGTCCCTTTCAACTATTTTGATTCCTCAAAGAAAAGGAAAGAAAAAGTAGATGGAGTTCATGCAGAGAAAAACAGAAACTGCTGACCATTCATCCTCTTGCACAGTTGGATCTTCCAGCAGAGATCTGGAAGGTAGGGCTTTAGTGCCTTCACCTCGTCTATGAACTTGGGTTACACCTTGAGCGTATGAAAAGCACCCAAAGGCATGAGCTTCCAGCCAAACTTTTACAAAGTGGGATTTGCAAAGTTGCTGCAATTGAGAGAAATTGGCCTTGAGGATAAAAGTGACTAGAGGTGATTTTTTTTTTTAAGCAGGCTGAATTCTTTTTTTTTTTTAAATATATATTTTTTTTAATTTTTATTTATTTATGACAGTCACACAGAGAGAGAGAGAGAGAGAAAGGCAGAGACACAGGCAGAGGGAGAAGCAGACTCCATGCACCGGGAGCCCGACGTGGGATTCGATCCCGGGTCTCCAGGATGGCGCCCTGGGCCAAAGGCAGGCGCTAAACCGCTGCGCCACCCAGGGATCCCAAGCAGGCTGAATTCTGATGAGGGCAATAGAGACTTCTCACTCATCTACTCAGTGATGCATTATCACTCAACTATATTTCCACTGGGGTGAAGGAAACCACCCACTTTTATATTTGGTTGGGTAAAGAATCACAGCCTCTGAATGTGCTAGACCTTCATGTCATATTAAGGTATAACGAGATAAACAATACTACACCTTGAAGAAGTATTTCTACTTTAAGGGGGAAGGCTCTATCAAAAGAGAAACTGTAACACAGAAAAACAAATACTAAGGAATGGAGGAAAGACCTATGCAAGGTTATTAGATTTCCTGACGACTGCAGGGGAGTCGAAAAATACAGAATGGACAGTACTGAGAACTAAGCAGTGTCCTTGAAAACACAGTGAACGTCTGAACGCCACCAACAAAACTACAGGAAGTCGCTGCTGCCCACCATAAGCAATGAAAAGCTGTATCTATTTCTCGATAGGTGGATGAATCTTTTTGGCAGACATTTATATGGCCTACAAGTTCACATTACGAGGTGAAAAGCACCTATTTTAGAAACTTCAGTCTGGACATGAAATACCAAGTGTGATCATTAAGCGTTTCCATTAGTCCTTGACCTCATTCTGCATATAAAACGCAGAAGTTCTTGGTTTTACAAGACTTACTGTGATAGCCAGTTTAATAAAAACCTGGGTCATGAGTGCTAATAAACACGCTGTTTCATCCTTACCAGTGGTCTTTACGAATGATGATAATCTAGCCACAATCTGCTATGTAAATTTAAATTTCAAAGAATATTTTTACTTCCCCGAAAATATTTGAGTTCACTAGGGCATTTGTGGAGAATAGGATAAATACATCATCTTTCTTTCCTATGACTATATTAAGTGCTGTGACACAAAGAGGTAAAATTTTTTTCTTTTTTTTTTATTTTTTTTATTATAAATTAATTTTTATTGGTGTTCAATTTACCAACATACAGAATAACACCCAGTGCTCATCCCGTCAAGTGTCCCCCTCCGTGCCCATCACCCATTCACCCCCACCCCCCGCCCTCCTCCCCTTCCACCACCCCTAGTTCATTTCCCAGAGTTAGAAGTCTTTATGTTCTGTGTCCCTTTCTGATATCTCCCACACATTTCTTCTCCCTTCCCTTATATTCCCCTTCACTATTATTCATATTCCCCAAATGAATGAGAACATACACTGTTTGTCCTTCTCCGATTGACTTACTTCACTCAGCATAATACCCTCCAGTTCCATCCACGTTGAAGCAAATGGTGGGATGAAGCAAATGGTGGGTAAAATTTTTCTCAATGTAAGTTTTTAAAATTTTAAAAATCAATAAACTCAGCAGCTAATTAACAGCGTATTTTTAAAGATAATCCACAAAAGTTACTTGTTAATTGTGATATTTGAGAGTGCTGGTTACAGAAGCTGGCCTCACTTCTGGCACATCCGTTCACAAATTACCATGCCAATTTGATCGGTTCAAGGAGAATAACACAGCAGCACTGAAAGTCAATTTTACCTCAATTTTAACTTCCAGGGTGGGTTAGGGATTGCTAGGCAAACACATATCAATTCTTACTAAACATAACTGGCCCCTGATGTCAAAATCAGCGTACATTAGGGCAAAGACAGTTGGCTATATTCTTGGGGAAGATAAAATAGGGCGAAAGGCACTTGCTAGGTCTCTGCTGGAGATGAAATCGCTCAAAGTGATAGAGATTTTTAAAGTCCATTTCTGCAAAAGCTTTTTGGTAATCCTTACCACTTTTTAAACTTCCATAGTTCGCTACCTCATAGACAAAAATACACTACCCTCAAGATTCTGGAGCACAGAAGTAGTTTAATATCATTCACATTTTCAGGCGCACAAATATAAAACTCAGAAGACAGTATTTGAGAACAAAGCTCTTCTGTGTGGGTGTGCATTTGTAAAATAAAGGTAGCACTATTCCGACAGATAGAAATGTGTATCCAGTGATCAAATGGAGTCTTAGAAATTCTGTTTTGACAGTTACTTGTAGAATAGCATTTCAACAGCCATTAATTCAAATCTGGGTGGTGATATCATCAACGCTAAATCAAAACGAAATTCAGATGGTTGGGTAATAACATTTGGAGGGATGTGTAATCGGTAACCTACTAGAGGGTACCTTTAACTATGCTATTAATATGTCACATGCAAAGGGTAACTGGCTCTGGCAGCAAAAGTCTCATGGAATAAAAATGCCAATAAAAAAATGCTCTTCCACTTATGAAGTGAATTTCTATGAAAACAGGTGTTCTCCCAAGATGGCAATCATTTATTAAACTTCTACAGTTCAAAAGGACAATGACATAATATATTAAAACACCAGCGGAGAACGATGCAAGACTGACCTATGAAAAACAGCATTCTAGATTACATAACACAGATAATGGCAGATTAAACTACACACCCCTACCCAGCTTGATTTCTGCGCTTCTGCTCTATTACTTAGGGCACTGAAGTCTGAAGAGTACACATCAGGTTCTCAGTTCAACCACATATTTTTGAAACCAAGAGTCCTGAAAAAAACTAAAAGGGTAAAATATTTTACACACACACAAACACACACAGTTTTTCCTGAGAACACAGTTCCTTAGACACTTTCTTACCCTCCTCATAGATGGCCCAGGTGAAGTCACCAGTTGCTTTTCCTGGTCATGTTTACTTTGTGACTCTGAGTTTCCTTTAAAGAGGAAACTCAATTCAATTTTGTATATCACTGAGCTGCCTGTGTTTGAATGACATTTTCTGCTAACCTAACAGAATTATCAAACAGCTATCCTCACGCGCTCGTAAGTTAATTTATAATTCACCCTGTGTCACATTTACGGTTACAAAAAAAAAAAAAAGTGACCTTACATTAATGGTTTGACCGAAATTAAATTTTAAACACCTGGGTTTATAAACGATAGGCTCACAAGAGTTAAAAAGGAGTAGGTGGTTACGTCTCAAATACATGCGTAAGTTTGAAAATACAATGGGCATTTGTATTTTCTCTAGAAAAGTGCTAGTTTATGAGAGTTTTATGATTCTAGATAAAGGGGCACTTAGAAACAACTGAAGATTGGTGACTTCCATGATTTCCATACTTCTGTACAGCACCGCCTACAAAATGTACAGTCAGAAGTACTGTACTATATAAACAGGGTCTAATTAGGTAAGGAAAAGGCAACTCTGAAATTCTGAAAACAAGACAACCTTTAATCTCCATCGTTCATATGCTTTTAGAGGGCCCGAACCTGCGCCCGTCGAGTGCTGGCCTGGCAGGGTTGTTTTAAGTGGAAACGGTCAATCGTTTCTATTACCTCCCCAGAAGAGGTGAAGACCCACTTGCATGCACATTTACATGCTCTGCACGGCGCCAACTATGTCCAACCAAAATAATCATATACACGTCGAGCCGAGCTATTTCTAGCCGGAAGCAGGGAACGTCCGGCCAGAGTCCGCGGAAACCCGGTGGGCGATGATCCCCGCGCAGGCAGGGGTGGCGCGTGGCCCCCCGCCTCCCGCCTCCCGCGCGCCGCGCCTCGCACCCCGCACCTGCACCGCGCCCCGCAGGCATCCGGGTGCGCGCGCGTCCGGGACGCACCCGCCGGGGGCAAACCGACCCCGCGGGCCGGGCCGGGCCGGGCCGGGCGGGCCGGGCGGGCGGGCGGGCGAGCGGGAGCATCCTCGGGCGGGACCCGAAATGCCTTCTCCTACCTGTCACTTTGCCGCGCGCTGCTGCCGAGGATGCGGCCGCGGCCGCCGCCTGGAGACCCAGTGTGTGCGCGCGCGTGTGTGCGCGCGGGTGTGAGGGAGAGCTCGTTTGCGGTGCGGATCACTTACTGCTCCCCGCGCCGCCCGCCCCCGCCCCCTCCCCCTCCCCTCCCCCCCCCCCCCCCGAGCCGGCCGCCGAGCCCCCTCGCGGCGCGTCCGGTCCCGCCCTCCCGCCGGCCCCCGCCCGCCCCCCGCCCCCCGCCGCCCGCCGCCCGCCTCCCCGCGCGGAGCCTCACCTCGGCCGAGGGCGGGGGGTCTCCGCGGGCGCTGCTCGCCGAACCCGCTCGGCCCGCCCGCCCGCCCGCGGGGCTCGGCGTGTGCCCGGCCCCGGGTCCCGCGGCCCCTTCGTGGCCGGCCGCTCCCTCCGCCCCAGCCCCGAGTCTCCCTCCGCGCTCGCCTCCCGGCTCCGGAGCCCGAGCTGTCGCCTCGCAGCCCCAACCTGCCCAGGCTACGGAGCATGCCCAGTGCGGCGCGCCCGGGCTGGGCTGGGGGTGGGCAGGGGCAGGGCCGGCGCCCGGCTGCCGCGGGCGGCGGGCGGCGGGCGGGGAGGGGGCGCGGACCGGCCGGGGCGCAGCCTCGCGGCGGGGGCGGGAGGCCCCGGGGGTCGCGGGCGGCGCGGGGAGGCGGTGGGTGGGGCGTCCGGGGGAGCCGCCTGGCCGCGCGCTCCTCGGGGGTCTCCCGGCCGCCCGCCCGCCGCCCGCCCGCCGCAGCCCTGGCGCCGCGGCACGTGCCCGGTGTCTGGGGTCCGGGTGCGCGCGGGGTGGCGCGGGGCGCCGAACCGGGGCCGGGGGAGTGGCTCCCCGCCCGCCGGGGCCCTGGCGCGGGAGAGGTGGGGGGAGAGGGAAGGGGCTCGGGACTGGCGAGAACTGGTACCCCGAGGCGGCGGGCGAGGGTGGGGGAGGCTTATTTGGTTACATTTGGTTCTACGAGCACGTAAAGCGCTTACAGGGCTTCGGGCACTAGTCTCAACGCTTTTTATTCGTGTAATCCGTAGACCAATCTTCCAAAGCAAGTACTACTATCATCTTTTTTTTCTTTTTTTTTCTCGAGGCTTAAACTGAGCCACCGAGAGATTAAGTGGTTCCAAAAAGTCCTCCCCCAAGTGCAACCTCAGAGACGCAAACCCCCCAGACTCTGGTCCCTGGAACGCTGCTCCAGCCGGCCCCCGGCTGGCCCCTGCCCTGCAGCGGCCCCCGGCGAACCCGGCCCCCTCGCCCTCGGGTCCCAAGGGCGCGGAGACTCCAGCATCACCACTCTTTGTGCGGACCCTCGACGCGCTGCTCCAGAACTCCCGGGAGGGCTCCCTCCTCCCCCAGGCCACTCCGCCCCCTCCTCCCGGCCGGCGGCCACCAAAACCCGGAGACGTGGCACCTGCGCATTGGGGACCGGGGCCACGCTCGCAGCTAAACTGGGCATGCTCAGCCGCCTAAGCCGGTCCGGCTGGCCAGGAGGAGACGGGGAGCCTGCCCGCGCGTTCAGTGTGGGGAAAGGCCGGGGGGGATGTCCGGGCCCTTGATGGGCAGAAGCAGAAGCAGTTGTGGATGCCAAAGTCCCGTTCCTCTGGCACGTCCTGGCCTTTTCCAGGCTGGGCTAAAAGGGGGTGGGGGGTGTGATCCAAAGTTTACCAGCTGGGCACGGTTAAGTGGGAGGGGGCCTAGCGCCCACTGACAACACTCCCCAGCTGAATTGCTAAGCTGCAATTTTAGCTGAGCCCTTAAACAAGCTCCTAAGTTAGCTGAGCCTGTCTGCCTGTGTGGAAGCCAAGAAAAATAGCCTAAACCAAGTTTCCCAGCCACACTGGAAAGGAAGGCAAGGTCCAGGGAAAAGCTGGGTGGCTCTTCACTGTTGAGGGGTCCTGAAGATGTGATCATGTTGAGTAATGCCAGGGTACTCCAGCAGCTCTTAAACTGCAATGTGTACACAAGTCTCAGGAGATCTTCTTAAGGAAAGGATTTTGATTCAGCAGTTCTGGGGTGGGACCTTGAGACTGTGCCTTTCTGACTAGCTCCCAGGTCACCCTGGTGTTGCTAGTTTTCAGAGCAGACTGAGTAGAAAAAGGATAGGGCAGTATTTTAGGCCAGCTCTCTATTTTTATTTATGTAAACTAAGGTTCGGTTCGGTAAGGCAAAGCAATTTGCCACAGGTCACACAACCAATAAGTAGTGTAGCTAGTTTCAAACCCAGTACTCCAGAACATCCTGTGTTTATGTTCCTATATTCCCCTCGTATCACCCATAGACAGATGAGCTAGTAGCTGTCATCTGTGTGTCTTGACCATTTCCACAGTGGAATTTAATTTAGTATATGTACACCTAAACATACTGTATCAGCCTCCTCTGTGTAAAGTCACACCAAAATGTAGTAGCTGTAGTAGCTTAAAACAACCATTTATTAGCTCACAATTCTGTGAGTCAGCTGTTTGGGCTGGAATCAACAGAGCAGTTCTGCTGCTTTCCACTGGGTTCACTTATGCTGTTGCAGAGGTGTAAAGCTTGGAGCCTCATCTGATGGCTGGGATGAGAGGATTGTCTTTCTGTATGGCATCTTCATATGGTGAGCTTCTGGTTTTCAGCAGCAAGGGAGGGCAAGCCCCAATTTACAATAATAGCATTTCCTTTTGCTGATGTCAGATTGACCAAAGAAAGCTGCATAGCCATGCCTGGGTGTAAAGCATGGGAAAAAATAACAAACTTCACTTTCTTATGGAAGGGGATGCAAAATAGAGTTTGTTTTTCCAATCTACCACATATACCAACTTCCATAAAACTAGCCCTTTTGCACTAGAATTTGCTCAAAGTTTTATAGATTAAGCCCATCTTTACCTTTGCACGTTGGTAAACCAAACCATAGCAGCATTTATTGTTAGGCTGTCAATCTGATAGTGAGTTTATTAAGGAATCTTAGCTCAGTGGGGTATAAATATTAAATGTTCAAATTTTTTTCAAAGTACTAAGTTCGACTCAATTCTGTAAAAGTTCCTTTTCCCTCCCTTTAATGCCATCCTAGATAGTCATTCACCTGACAAACATTTCTGAGACTTTTTTTTTTTTAAGATTGTATTTATTTATTCATGAGAGACAGGCAGAGGGAGAAGCAGGCTCCATGCAGCGAGCCTGACGTGGGACTCGATCCCGGGTCTCCAGGATCACATCCGGGCTGAAGGCGGCGCTAAACCGCTGAGCCACCTGGGCTGCCCAAGACTTTTTTTTGAAACATTTATGTATTTATTTTTAGAGAGACCGACAGAGCACGTGCAGTGGGGAGGGGCGGAGGGAGAGAGAATCTCAAGCAGATACCCGCAGAGTGAGGAGCCCCACACAGGGCTCCATTTCACAACTGTGAGATCATGACCTGAGCCAAAATCAGGAGTCAGATGCTTAGCCGACTGAGCCACCCAGGTGCCTCTATTTCTGAGGCACTTTTTATATGTGTCAGGCACTATGCTTTGCCCAGGATACCAAGGACAACAGAAGAGGCAAAATCATTTCCCCTATGAAGCCTAAATACTATCAGAGGAGATAAACAATAAAAAGCATATTATATTAAAAAGATATAACATCAAGTAGTGTTGAGAGCCAGGATGGAAAGGAAAAGCAAAAGCTTCATGAGGCAGATAGGAGGGGCTGCCAATTTAGATAGGGGTCAGAGACAGTCTCCCTGAGGATGTGGCATTGAGTGGAGACCTAAATGAAGAGAGAGGTGTGAATATCTAGGGAAGAGTGTTTTCAGCAGAGGGAACAGCAAAAGCCCTGAGATGAGAATGTGATTGCCACATTCAAGAAACAGAAAAGAGGCCAGACTGACAGGGCAAGGCATAGAATGAATGGAATTGGGGTCACAGAGGCAGCAGGGGGCCAGGCCATGTAAGGCCACAGAAAGGACTTTGGGCTTCAGTCCAAGTGTGAGACGAACCCATTGGAAGATGTCAAGCAGAATCAGAACATGATCTTTTCAGTGGTTTCGAGAGCTCACATTGAGATTGCCTGAAGAGGCAAGAGTTCAAAAAGTGAGCCCAGTAAAAGGACACAGCAGCAGTTCTGCTTGGGCAGAGTTTATCATCTTCAGCATTAAAACCCAGACTATGTTAAATATTCAACTTTAGGCTCAGTTTAAATCCAGTCTTCTCTCTGTCCCATTGCAGGCTGTAGCTGGATCCGTTGTGCCTTGAAATAGAAGGTGGTGGTACAGGATCTGGTCCTTAAACACTTTTATGCCACCTGCTTTTCAAAGTCTATGTGGTCCTGCATGTTGAGTTGGAAGGAGGAAGAAGGAAATCAATGAACGTATCTACTGTTGACTTATGGCCATTTGATCCTCTTTCAGTTCACTGTGGCTGCTTTTCTGTCAAAAACACCAGTGACCCTGTGGCAGGTGTCCCATTGCCTGTTCTCTGCCGTGACAGACGTAAGTAAGGCCCTTGGAGGGGCCTTCTGGATCCCTACCCTCCCAGCACTGCTCCTTTTATTCCAAGCCCATAATGCTCTCCATGGTGGCCTACCCCAGTGCATCTTACTGCTGGGGCTCACATGCCAGGCAAGCATCCTACCATGTGGGCCACTGATAAGAAAGTTAAGCCCCGCAGCCTTCTAGCACCCACTGGAGAAAATAGCCCAGCTGAGGCAGGTTAAAAGATTGATAGGGAAGGAGATGGGTAAGGTAGAGTTAATTTTGCCATGAGGAGGATACCTAGGTCTAATTATAGGGGTTTTCCCTTTCTCTATAATGTAAGTTATAGAACTCCTCTGTGTAGTCAACTGCTTGTTCTGCTTATCAGTTCCAGGGCAACATCTTGTTATAGACATTAACATTCACCAGAAGAAAGGCCAAAGCAAACTGTCAGTGCATCCAGGCCCTTACATTTTTATAAAGTCTTATTTGTTATTGTAGCTTTATAGGAAAGGAGGACAGGAGATAATCAGAACCTTCAGGTTAATAGGCCCAACTGTGTTTGCAAAAGATCACATTGTATTCTTTTTAGAGAAAGGGCAGTGCATCTCTTGTCCTGATTTAAAGTGATACATTAATCACTGCTTCCACCCAG